CATGCGCCGCATGTCATGCCCTATGCCGTGCCTGTTGTAGGACATCGTGCCGCAGCACATGCCCCACGTCGTTGCCCTTGAGGTGCTCCACCAATTTGGTGGATCTGGAGCCTGATTCATGATTTTGGTGGAACAAATTCACAGCGGAACTGCTGAAGCTGAAAGGGTTTGGCTGAGAAAATTGAATATGGATATGTTTTTCATGGATTTGGAGCTAGTTGAGCTCCACGAAACAGGTCCGACGTATTCTAGTTAGCCTGCTGACGTTAGAGCACCCTTACACTTGCTCAGGTCCCTCTCGGGCAAATGTTCGTTTGTCAACCGGTGACTCTAACAAAATCGATCGAACCGGTTTCTAAGACTGCCTCGGTAAAGCTGCTTTTGCATGTTGTACGTGACATATTCAAGTATTTGGTACATCTAAATGTCAATAATTATATTAATGGGGCGTGCCATGCTACAAGGAGGTAGAGGAGACTAAGGCAATTGTGCAATGACGTGAAAAAAGCTTATTAGGAGCATCTCCAACAGTTTGTAAATTTATCCCTAACCTTTTTTTTTTTGCATGATGAGAAAAAACCCTATTCCAATAGTTTCTTATCTTAACTCCTAATTTATCCTCGTTTGGGAAAACAGAGAGATCCACACGGAAAGATACATGAACGACTGATACTTTATATATGTTTTTTCGATGCTCTCCGTCTTCTGGAGGTTCACCAGAATTGGATATTTGGCTACTATTTATTTAAGAATATTAAGAGATAGAGCAGGTAATATAGATTCTATTTAGAGGTACTAGGTGTGAGTTATGCCATCGAGATGGCCAGCCATGTATGGAGCCGCGCGGTCTAGGAGGTTCATTGGAATTAGACCTCTGACAACTATTTTCTAGATATGAGAATACTAGAAGGTAGAGATAATAGATTTAATTTTGTAGGTTTCGGTTTGAGATGGGGTGGCTGGACACTACGAAGAGTTAGGGGGTGTTTGATTCTCTAGTCGCTCCTAAAATTCATGTCACATCGAATGTTTAGATACTACTAAAGAGCATTAAATATAGATTAATTACAAAACCAATTACATAGATGGAAGCTAATTTGCGAGATGATTTTTAAGCCTAATTAATCTGTCATTAGCACATGTTTACTGTAGCACCACGTTGTCAAATCATGGACTGATTAGGCTTAAAAGATTCGTCTCGTAAATTAGTCGTAAGTTGTGTAATTAGTTTTATAATTAGTCTATATTTAATACTCCATGTATATGTCTAAATATTCGACGTGACAGAAAATTCAGGAGCGCACGTAGAAAACAAACATGGCCTTATTTCATCGACGGTTCAGTGTATACGGAGACAATGATGTGTATTTTTTTAAGAACACAAGTTATTTCGCCCATGATTAGCACTCACTATGAGCTTGTTTGGCTCCCGCCACAACACGGCACACCGTTGTTCTGGCACTGCCGAATGTGTGGCGCAGGAAACAAGCGCCAGACTTTTTGGGAGAGTTCACTACTGGACTCAGTGAATTTGTCGAGTGCCAGGGACACTCGGCAAAACCCAATTTATACTCGGCAAAGGCTTTATCGAGTGCTGCACTCGGCAAATAGCACTTGGCAAAAAAAGAGTCGGCAAAGACGTCTTTGCCGAGTGCCGACACTCGACAAAGTTGGAACCGAAAAAAACCCCGAAAAAATAGGAATTTTTACCAAAAAAATGAAATTTTTTTTAATTGGTGGAGGCCCCCACCGGTCAACGCCCATCCATCTCCGGTTTTTTCGCGTAAATTTCACGACTACGCGGCCGACGGGATTCGAACCCAAGACCTCCCACTGCGCACAAACCTCCTCTACCACTACACCACACTGTCACTTGTTTCTAGATTTCGTTTTAGTTCCCAATATATTATACTAAACCGAGTGTAAATTGTTTGTTTGAGGCCCTAAACGAATTCAAATAAAAAAGTTGTGAACTACAAAGTTTCATAACTTTTCGAGATCTACACTTTTAATTTAGGAAGTTTTTCCATTCGAGGTCGTTTACAAAATTTGAATTTTAAAATTTTGAAATGCAAACACAGTTCTGCATGACAAGATGTTTTCAAATCAAAAAGTTGCCAACTACAATGTTTCATAACTTTTGGAGATCTATAATTTTTATTTAGGAAGTTTTTCCATCCGAGGTCTTTTGAAAAATTCAAATTTTAAAATTTTCAAATTCAAACGTCGTTTTTGCATGACAAAATGATTTCAAATCAAAATGTTGCCAACTACAAAATTTCATAACTTCTCAAGATCTACAAAGTTTATTTTGGTCATTTGTTCATCCGACATAGTGGTACTAACATTGTTCACAAATCATATATATCTCTCTTCTACTTTCATGAAACTAATATGAGAAATGTATATTTTATGAACAACGTTATTGTCGTTTTGTCAAATGAAAAAATGACCAAAATAAACTTTGTAGATCTTGAGAAGTTATACAACTTTGTAGTTGAAAAGTTTTTCATTTGAATTCATTTAGGGCCTCAAAAATTGATTCCAAAAACTGATTTGCCGAGGGCCAAAAAATTACACACGACAAAATGCCTCTTTGCCGAGTGCCAAAACATAGGCACTCGGCAAAATATGGCTTTGCCGAGTGCTAGAAAAAAGGCACTCGGTAAACTGAGAGTAAATTGCTTGTTTGAGGCTCTAAATGAATTCAAATCAAAAAGTGGTCAACTATAAAGTTTCATAACTTTTTGAGATCTACAATTTTTATTTAGTAAGTTTTTGCATCCGAGGTCGTTTGAAAAATTTGAATTTTAAATTTGAGAGATTCAAACATAGTTTTGCATGATAAGATGATTTCAAATCAAAAAGTTGTCAACTACATAGTTTCATAACTTTTGGAGATCTACAATTTTCATTTAGGAAGTTTTTTCATCCGAGGTCGTTTTGAAAATTCAAATTTTAAAATTTTCAAATTCAAACGTCGTTTTTGCATGACAAGATGATTTCAAATCAAAATGTTGCCAACTACAAAATTTCATAACTTATCAAGATCTACAAAGTTTATTTTGGTCATTTGTTCATCCAACATAGTGGTAGTAACATTGTTCACAAATCTTATATATCTATCTTCTACTTTCATGAAACTAATATGAGAGATATGAGAGATGTAGATTTTATGAACAACGTTATTGTCGCTTTGTCAAATGAAGAAATGACCAAAATAAACTTTATAGATCTTGAGAAGTTATACAACTTTGTAGTTGAAAAGTTTTTCATTTGAATTCATTTAGGGCCTCAAAAATTGCTTCGAAAAAATAATTTACCGAGGGCCAAAAAAAATGTACAAGGCAAAAAGCCTCTTTGCCGAGTGCCAAAACAAAGGCACTCGACAAAATACATCTTTGCCGAGTGTCAGAAAAAAACACTCGGCAAAGACGTATTTTGCTGAGTGTATTTTATTTGACACTCGACAGACACAGTCTTTGCCGAGTGCCCGATAAAATACACTCGGCAAAGCCTCGGCATTCGGTAAATCGCCGGTTTCCGGTAGTGAATTTGGCGCTGAATTAGACAAGGAATGACGTCGCACTTTCGGTACAGCCAAGACGCGACAGCTTATGGCGTGCTGTAGTTTGGGTGTGGCGTGCTACGCCTACGAGCTAAACAGGCCCGATGTACGTGAGACGATGACCGTTAGTGGAGTGTATTTTTTAAAACTAAATTTTGAACTCAACTGTTTAGATACCATTTGAGTTGCTCTGGGAAGCTGCTTGCCGATCCTCATGGAGTATGTATACATAAGCTTCACGTGGCTAACAGCCTAACAGGCTAAAGTTGTTGATGTCCCACTTTTCTAAGCGTTGGAAAGATACAGAGAGAACAAAATAAAGTTGGTGTATGAGCTTGCAACGATTGTTAACTAGGAAGTCAAGAATTTCTGTTCGTTTGGGTTTGTTTGGCTTATAAGTCATACTTTTTTAGTCAACGAATAGTATTTTTCTCTCATATCAAATCAGCCAACAATACTTTCAGCTATGGCTTATCAGCCAAACAAGCCAAAACGAACATGGTGATTGAGTTGTGTCTTTGTCTATCTATTCCTATCTTACCATTGGAAAAAAGGAGGGAAAAGCCAAATACAATGCATACAAATTCCTAGCCTAGTTGATACGCCATCCAAGTTTTATTATCCGTTTGTGACAAGCACATGACACACTTGCGTATTCTTTTATATTTTAAAAAAATTGAAAAATTGATAAAGGTAGACGAGGTGGAGGATTGCAAGGGAGGGGGTACCCCTCACACACGTGGCGAACGGTCACCAACCGGCACGCATGACATCCTTGACACAGACTGGAGTGGCGTCTTGTTCAAATAAAATTGAATTCAAATTGAATTCAAATTCAAATCTATCCAGGGCGAGGACCACCACCACCAACTCCTAGATCTATATATTCTCAAAAAAAAAAAAAACCCCTCCTAGATCTATTATCCCTACCCGTCCCCGAAAGAAAGGGAAGAGCGCCAGGCAGGCAGTCAAACCCTCCGTCTCCGTCCTCCCTCCCTCTCACGCAAAACGCAGACCACCCCGGCCCGCCACCGTCGGCAACTACTTTCCTTTCGTCGTCGTCGCCCCCACCCGCTCCTCCACTCACCACCGGACGGATCCGGATGTCGTCTCCGCCCGCGCATCCACTCCACACCCGCAATTCCGCAGCAAAAAACGCTAGCAGCGGCGGCGGCAGCGGTTGGTAGCCGCACGATCGAGACGGCGGGTAAGCTGCCCCGCCACGGTCGCGGTGCATATATTACCACCACCAAAATTCCAGGTGCCCGTTCCTGATTTGATTTGAACCCAGGTCGGAGTAGGAGCAGATCGAATTAGCTACCACGGACGCTCTGGCACCTTCTTTATTATTGCTTCCTAGCCTTTTTGCTTTATTATGTCCCTCTCTCTCTCTCTCTATATGCCTCTTAGCTTGTTTCGCCCATTCTGGTAGGAGACGAGGAGGCGCCGATCTGTAGCGGCGCCGAGGGCGACATCGAGGAGCCGCTGGTCTCACGCCGCTCACCGTGAGTTCTTCATTCCTTTTCCCTTCTTTCCTCCGGTTCCGCGAAAGCTGAACATAAGTTTTTCTCCCCTTTCTTGCGAAAGTTATCTGAAGACATTGTTCTTTGTATGTAATTCTAGTTCCGGCCTTGGAAACATGTTATTTCCTCCCTGCTATCTTCTATTTGATAGACTAGTGGTACTTTCTTCGACTCCCATCATGAGTCCTTGGGTGACTCTAGTTTAGGGACAGGACAGGTCTCTTTTCAGATAATTAGGGTGATTCTGAGTGTAGCTTTAACTCAGCTCAGCTTGTCTTGCTATTTTAACAAATTATTACTCGTACTAGAAAGAAGGTTTTCATCTTTTCCTGACATATTCTTTGCTAGTGTATGTATGTGGATGTGGATGTCGATGTGCTTTTTCAAGTGGATGGCGTGGGTCCTTCAGCTCTAGATATTTTCTAAGTTTTGTCTGGGGGTGAAATAAACAATACAGATATGATAAGATAATTCAGTCCACTTGTACTGAAGTTTGACTTTGATGTCACCAGTCACATTCCTAGGTTGCATAATAACTGCCGGAAAACAAGACTAGTGGGCAAAAACTATTAGTCAAAGCCAATAAATTTTTTTTTGAGGGTGAAGCCAATAAATTTTAATGGAACCCTTCACCCACTCAAGAAAATTTGAGGGAACCCTTCCACCATGGAAAGAAAATTCGAGGTAATCTGCTGCCTACTATCTTAAGAAAGAGAAATTGGGTACAATTCTCATACTCACAGTCTAGGCATACTTTGTTTTGGTGACAACTGATAGCCACTGTCAGCCTGTAACAGCTCGCAATCTTGAAGTTCTCAGTAGCTTTGTGCTGTTGTCAATTGCCTTTGATTTAAGTGCTGTCAAACCATTTTGCTGTATTAATTGTTGGGCACCACATTACTAGTTAACCTAGTTGACTTAATCGATCAGATGAGAAACATTGGATGCAGTTTTTAATGATCTGGAGTCGAACCAGTTGATATGAGGTTTGCCCACTTGGGTTTGGAACTAGTATGATTGGAGTAAACATACATATCTTTTGTTCCAGTGTCAATAGATAGCTGGTGTCAGTGAATACCCAACTAACAATCTCTAATGCCAATTGGCATGAATTTCTGTTTGCTGAACTTTTAAGCTGTCTTAACTGTCCAATATCAAATTAGTAGAAGTTAATCTAGTTGACTTAGTGGATCCAGTGAAATGCTTGGGTTTGAACTGTTTTTTCAAGGATCTGTACTTGACTTTGTTGTTCCAGAGCTTTGTCTGTTGGTTTTCTTCAAGTTTCAAAAGTTCTGTTCACCCACCTGCCCTGTCTTTCCAGGTTTGGAGGTATGGAAATTTCATGATTCCATGTTAGTTTGCTAACTTAACTTTGCTGGCTTGCTGTTCATCTATGTCAAGTGAGATTTCCTAGTTGTTTCTGTTCAGTTGACCTTTTACTAATTGAATCTTTGCAGTTTCTTATGGATACAGATTGCTAGACTTTCTGTGGTTCTTTTTTCTGTCTTCTTTTGCTTGCCTCTGGCAAATAAGTTACACATGCTTCTTGTTTGAGTTTCTAGCGCCATCATGCTTCTGGTGGCATCTTTTTTTTTTAAAGTTATAGTTTCTTTTAACTGAATGATTTATGTGAAGTTATTTGAATAATTTTTTTCTGAGCCTGAGATCTTAGTTAATGATATTTATGATCTCATGTGGTCCTTATTGATTAAGGAAATGATGGGCTTGGGATATCTGTGTGGAACTGCTTATTATCTGTAGATATATCTGTATTTCCAGATGTGTCAGTTGATTACAATCTTGCTTTTGATCCCTCATGAGTTTGTGTAAACTTGAAAAATTGTCTCTGTTGTCTGCTTGGTGATCTTGAACCCTTATTCTTGGACAGTAGACCAGAATGATCACACCATTTTAATTTCATAATTGTAATTTATTAGATTGCCTGCATTCTGTTACACTCGTCTGCTATTTTGTTCACTCCTCTCAAATGATAAATGAGATTGTCAGTTTTTACCAACATCCAATAAGTTGAACTCGAACGATTATCAGAAACTGTCAAATGTCATGGTTACTTGATTTTTTCTGTTTCTGAACATATTACCTTTTCCTAGTACAGAAAATACAATTTGGTACTGTCAACCTGCTCCGGTCAGTGTAGTTGTAACTAGCATTCAACTAGCCTTGTTTTACCCAACTGATGTTTGAAGTTAATACTGTCGTCTAGTGGTAGGACTTATGTACTTGTCAAATAAGATTGATCCTTTTTCAGCTGTTGAATTTGGCTCCTGGTTGTATCATGACATGTTCATATGTCAGTTGTTCTTAGCATGGTTGATAGTTTGTTTGTATAACTCCAGTATTTTCCTGTGTCCCTAGCACATATTTGAAGTCTCTTTAAAACATGAAGAAAGGTTGTTAGCATGTTTTTTTTGTTTGTTTTTTTACCAAAGCTTATACCTTTTATTTTAATTTGGAACTGAAGTTTCAATATAATAATTCACATGGAAATGCCTTGGTTTCCAGTTCTATGGATTAATGATATCATTAAATACATCGTGTTTCTGTAATTATTCTACTGCCATAACTCATAGGAGATGCTAAATGTCACTGTTAATGTCCATGCTATCTACTGATGGAACAGTGAGAACTACCTTTGCACCCTGTACGAAAGATAATCATGTCTTGCAGTGCTGTGAAGCCCTTGAGAACTGAATTGCAGCTGTTATTGTAACTTTACTCACTAGTGTTTGCTCTCTTACTATCTTTGTTTTTGTAGGAGAATGGCAGACCAGTTAGGGTCTTACACTATTAGATCCCATGGAATGATATTGGCAAGATTTCACATGTATGACTGGATAATACTTCTCCTCCTTGCTGTCATAGACGGGCTGTTGAATATAATTGAACCATTTCACCGTTTTGTTGGAAAAGACATGATGACTGACTTGAGATATCCTATGAAGGGCAATACAGTGCCATTTTGGGCTGTTCCAGTATGTCCTGGTATCCTTATCTTTCAGTATGTTTTGATCCTGTTACATCCATGCAAAAGTTCTTGTGTGGTTCTTAGCTGTTTTTCTTATTTGCAGCTGATCGGAATTATACTACCTTGGGCCATCTTTGTTGGAATTTACTTCAAAAAGAAGAATTTTTATGATTTGCACCATGGCATACTGGGTATTTTACATATTATATGATCCCTTCGATACGTTGATTAGTGCAAGAGAAACATATCTAAAAAATGGAAATTTTGTAGGGATTCTATACTCAGTGCTCATAACTGCAGTGATTACTGATGCAATTAAGGATGGTGTTGGACGGCCTCGTCCAGATTTTTTCTGGCGCTGTTTCCCTGATGGAAATGATGTAAGATAAAAATAAAAACTAACTTATAGTCCTGTAGCAAGTTCATCTGTGTTGATATCTATATGGTTCAAAATTTGCATAGAATCTGGGCTAATTACATTATCTTTAAGGTTTATGATAACATTACTACTGGTGTTATATGCAATGGAGTGAAGAGTGTAATCAAGGAAGGCCACAAGAGCTTTCCCAGTGGACACACTTCATGTAAGTAATGGCATAACCACGCAATTATTCAAATAGCTTGTAACCGCATATGTTCTCCTTTGTAATATTGATCCCTTTGGTGCACTTGTTGCCCAACTCTATGGACAATTTTACAGTGGGAAAACCTATATGCTTTTAAAAGTTAACTGCCACTTGTGCATATTCAATACAATTAGATTGGTCTACTACAGTTTGATGATATGTCTAAAATACCATGGCAAGGTACCTGAGGAAATAGATTCTTTCAGTACAGGTCGTCTTCCTTTTTTTTTTGGGAGAAAAGAAAATGTGTCTGCCTTTCGGGGCGGGGGTGGGTGGGGGGGTGTTATGCCTTGGGCATGCTAGTTCTAATCATCAGAGAAAGTGGATGTCTTTGTGGGTGGGTGCTAAGACCTCAGTTGGGCATGGTGACAACCTGCATTGTGGACAGTTTTTGTGGCTTTGCATGATTCTGCATTGGTGATAGGGGGCAAGAGAGTTGCAAACAAGTGGTGTGCAGTCAATGACACTGTCTGTGCTGTCTGCTACTTTGTGTCTGAGAAATTAGGCTACAGGAGTGACCAAGTAAATCCAAACAATGGATTATCTTGTGTCTTGCCTGCCATGTTCTATGGAAATATTGAATGCCACAGACGAGACCTCAAAATTGGCCATATCTCAAATGCCTTGCTGAAATTTAAGCACTGTTTAGTAACCCTGAATTTAGCCTCCCCTCTGGAAGTATACTGTCTCTTTGGTACTGAAAATTCTGAGCCTTATCTGAGATATGATCCATGAGTCTAAGAAAAATGGAGATAAAGTGATTCAAACATTTTGTACACATGTTTCTGAGAGCAAGCAGGCATGAAAACTGGAGTATGTTTAGTTAGCTTGGGGCAAGCTGCATGCACATGTGCCATATAGTAGTGGAGTGTTTAGGTTGTAAAGTATGACCTATGTGCACGATCGGCAGATCAACCGGTTACTCTCTTTTCATTTAATCACATTAACTCTTGTAACATTCCCAAACTCGTTTAAATTAGTACTGAAGCATAAGTTCTCTTTTTATATGCTGAAGTTAAGTTCCAACTTGGCACCTCATGATATATATATTTTTTACAGTGTGATGGTTCTACCATCTGAAATTTGTGTTGTCATTGCCTATTACACTACTTCAGGGTCTTTTGCTGGTCTAGGCTTCCTAGCATGGTATTTAGCTGGGAAAATCGCGGCTTTTGATCGCAAAGGACATATTGCGAAGCTATGTATTGTGTTTCTGCCTCTCCTTACTGCTGCACTTGTGGCTGTTTCTCGAGTGGATGACTACTGGCATCATTGGCAAGATGTATTTGCAGGGGGTCTTATAGGTTTGTAAATTTTGATAAATCTTTTTTTTTTGCGAAACAATTTTGATAAAGGCTTTGCTGCTGTTGTTGTTGTTGTTTTCTAAAGAGGAAAGAGATGTAGATTTTTTTAGATGTTCTGAATATACATAATTGATCATGTTTCTCGCCATGGCCACTTGCCTTTGCAGGTCTTACAGTTGCTTCATTTTGCTATCTACAATTTTTCCCATATCCTTTTGATGGCGATGGTACCTACTGTTCACTGTTTTACCAGCTATTGAGTTTTCAGGTTTTGTTCAACATGTCACAGAATATTGTACACCTCCTTTGCAGCTTGGTGGCCTCATGCATACACGGTCCAGGTAGCTGAGGAACGGAACAGCAGAAATGCAAACTCCTACAGCGTGAGACCAACCGAGATCGAAACAGTCAATATTCCTGGCCGCGGTGGGATCACCCTAAGAGATACTGTAAACGATGTGGAGTCTGGCACTGGCAGTGACAGGAGATCCTGAGATGAGTCTGGATACCGTGGGAGCTGCTTGCATATGTATACAGGTAGATCTATTGTAGAGCTGTTGACTGCTGCCACCGTGATAGGGGAGGGTTGTCTAGACGGGCTTGGCAGTAAATTACTTGGTAGGGGTGTTGTTTCTTCTGACAATGTTTGGGTTTCCTTTGTTTATACTTGTTGAGTCTAGAGTTGTGGTTAAAGTTTGTTGGCTTACACTCTTTGTAGTCAGCTTAATTGGTCAGTGCATTCAGCAACTATGATCTGATCAGATGTGCAGGGTAAATGGGTTTCTCAGTCGATTGTGGATTGTTGCTCTTATATTGAAGCGTGAAATTCAGTTGCCACCATAATCTGCTCTTATAATAAGCGCGAAATTCATTTGCCACCATAATTTGCGATTAGGTCCGTCGTGTGGAGGTAAAAGAACGACCTGTCCAGGTGTCCTGCAATGTGACAAGTAGGTTGATTGCATTGGACAAGCCATTTTTTTTTCTCTACCAAGTACAAACATATCTAGACCAACTAATCTGTTAGGCCCTGATCGCGTGCCCTTAAACCTGGCTTGATCCGCTTCTTTTTTTATCCGGAACAATATTTTTCTCTCATAAATTCCTCCAGCATTTCTCCAAACCATCCAAATTCCTCCGAGCGAACAAGCCCTTAATGTCATGAATCCATGATGTCGTACATGCGCTTTGAATCTTCATTTTTCTGCTGTGCTCCTTTTCGTTTTCCCTGCTGGCCAGAATAGGTTATTAGCGAATGTGTTCTTCCATAAGTTCATATTTGAGACTTGCACAATTTGAATTACCCACAAATATTTTGATGCCGGGAAAGGATGTCCTGATGTAAAGTTTGAAGCCCATGTGTTCCCAAGGAAAATGAGTGGCAGACTGGCAGTAGTAGTACGCAATACCAAACGTTCAGTTTGGTAGTTAAATAGGCAGCTCTCATACAACTTCCGTCCCGAATTAAAGTCGTTCTAGGATGGAACACGTTATTAAGACTGGAGCAAAAAGACCAACGTATCCTAATTCTACTTAGGAAATAACTAGCCCGGACGTTCGGTCTAGGCTCGTGTCCGGAAGTAGTTCCGCCGCACTCTGTCCTATCCCTGCGTAACAGAGGAGCCCGCCGCGCCCGACGGTCTCAACCTCGTCCTGCTCGCATTACCTGCGGCATGGCTAGCGGAGGCAGCATCTTACCGTATGAATCCTGCCTCCAAAAGCTGGCCAGCCAGCGTGCCACGTCGCGTGCTTTTCCCGGCCGTTCGATCGGGCGCGCGGACGGCCCAGATCGGACGAGCCGTGGTCTTTTTTCAAAAAAAACCTTGAGCGTTTGTCGAATCAACCCGCAGTCCAGACCTCCTCTCAGGGTTTTTTTTAAAAAAGCCCTCGAACTTTACCAAAATCAACCCTCAATCCAGGCCTTTACCGGAGCCATGACGAAGCTTCGTGGGCGACGCTCGTCCCCTCTCCCCTGCGCCTCCTCCGCCGGACCGCCACCCCCACCCCTGCTCTCCACTCCACCCTTCGCTTGCAGGGTCACTAGAGCGGGCTTGAATCGCGGTCGCCGATGAGCTGGCGCGACGCACTGGCACGACGGTGAGCTGGCCCCTCGCGACAGGCGGCGAGGCGGGGATCTGGCGGCGGCTCCCAGCCCGTGGGTGCGGCTGTCCGCGGGTCACCGGCAAGCGGCACACCCGTCCCACCATCCTCGATACTTGCCGCTCCGCCGCTGCCGGGGCCCTGCGCAGCAGCACCCGTCCGAGCCCAGTCGGCACCGACGCCTCAAATCCTCCATCGTCGCCCGACCATCACGTCCCCCACGCCAGTGCCCGCGGATGTGGCGGTCGGCGGCTGTGTGCGTCGATGCGGCGGCTTGCCTTCCTCGCAGCTGCCTGCGCGGATCCAGCGCGGAGAGGCAGCGATGGTGGCGTCGCCACACCTTCTCCACGCCTCTTGCCTCCTGTCCCTTGCCCCGCACCAGATGCTCGGATGAGCAATAGCGTCCATGCGAGATGACAAACTACTGAAGGCACCCACATCCTGACGCTCCACACAGACATACGTGCTCCATCGATCTCCTCCGTGCCACGCTGCCGAGCTTCCTCTGCATGGAGGCCATCGAAATGTGGTGAGTTCATCCATCAAATCGTTAGCACCCCCCCCCACCACCACACACACAACCAATCCTCTCATATTTGTTGGATTACGCAGGTGCACGACCTTCATCAGGGAAAGCAGAAATTTTGGGAAGAAGAAGGCTGATGTGTTTGTGCAAAAATCAGAGGCATGAATGCAGGTGTTGTGTATTATACTTGCTCTGATTTAGGAGAGTTAGAGGAGGAGATGGCTTGCGAAATCAGGAGCAGGCGCTTCAAATTGAAGGAGGATGCAAATGTTTTGCGTTGCTTGAGGATGAAGGGGCTACTTCCTGTTGACGCTGTGCTTGCTGGGAAAGAACAGCAATCCAACAAGGTGTCCATGGTGTGCTGCTACCTCTAGGTAATGCTCCATGCTAATCTACAGCTATGTTTTCCATCTCGATACATGGCCACCGCCAATACTACTCGCAGGTTCTCTAATGGAACAGCCCTAGCTGGCGCGGCAACGCCGTGCCCATGGTTTTCTAGTGTCTTATGGGGACGCGACTTGTGCGCCAGCGCGAACGTGACCCTGTGTGTCCTCCGGTGGAGCGTTGCCGTTAGCTTACCAACTGACGCCGCCATGGCTCCTGCGCTAGTTCTCTCTTCCTCGCTCAACAACCCTACATTGAGATCTACTTTTACAATACTCAGATAAAACAATTGCAACATATGTCTAAAACAGATGAAATATTTGGAACATACACTTGCAACATAGACATTGCAAATATATGCAACATCTAGATAAAACACTTGCAATATACGTCTGAAACAGATAAAACATCTAGAACACGTTGTTGCAACACATGTGTGAAACACATACAAACATCCAGATCAAAACGCTTACAACATACGTCTAGAATAGATGAAACATTTTAAACAAATGCTTGTAACATGTCTCTGAAATACTTGCAACATATGCAATATCCCCGGTATACTTTTGCAACATCCATAAGAAATAATTGCAACATACCTTTGAAACTACTGAAACACCTGAATATACATTTGCAACATAGGAGAGGGGGCCTAGGCGGTCGATACCGGCCCGGGGGAGTTGAGGTCGGCGTGGCGGCGGCGGCAAGCACCACTAGCATCCGACCCCGCGATCGTGGGTGCCCTTGTTCGGTGGGGAGCGACTAGAGGCGCCCGATCGCGCATCATCGGCGGGGGTGGCTGCTGTGAGGCATCCCGATGGCGTTGGGGGTTGGGGAAAGGCCGGGAGGTGCTCTGCTTTGTCAGCAGACGCGAGATAGAGATCGAGAGATGTGTGGAGAGCAGAGACAACGCACGCGCGCAGGATGGGGGCACGATGAGGGATGGGCGCGCGACGCGTGGGTCGAATCCGTGTGGGCTGTGCATGCGACGAGCTAGGCGAGCAAAGGGAGGCAGCAGTGTCGCGGGCGAGGCGCGCGTCGCAGGCAAGAGCGAGGAGCGCGAGCGGAAACGGCGAGACGAAGTATGATGCGTGGCCGGACGGACGGACGCTCGCGTGAAAGCGTTATCATTCAACTAGTCCCTCCTCTCTTGCACTTTTCTTGCGTAGACGTGAATAAGCTCTTTGCAGTTCTAGTACGTTGGAGATTGGTGTTACTCTAGGTGTGGGCCTTGTGGCAGAACCGCCTGAAATAACGCGCTTACGGAGGCGCTTGTCTTCCACTAGACACTAAGCACCCCGAGCGAGCTCCATCGGGCGGATTCTGTCGAGCACACCCAAGGGAGAGCCCGAATAATCTACATTTTCCCCCAAGGATCCAATAATGAGAACGAGTTACAATACTTAGCCCATTTCATACATCCAGAATTCTTAAAAGATATATTATTATAGTACCAAATTCAGAGTGCGGAAATTTAACAGCGGAATGAAAAGAAACATTTATTGATAATACATAAGGATCTGTCTATGCCCACCAGAAGAATCCTTCACATAACAGCTACTCCTTAAGCAGTACTTGCAACAGGGGTAAATAAACCCTGAGTACACAATGTACTCGCAAGACTTATCCGACTAGTGGGAATAATTTTTCCGACTCCAAGGAATATGCTAAGCTTTATGGTTTGCTGGATTTTCCATTTGCAGAAAGCAATACTAATAGTGAATCCTTATTTATGTTATTATTAGCAGTCATAATTATTTTATTATCTAGCCATTCTATGTAGGCACCTGTTCTACTTTCAAGCAAGAGTTGAGCAAACAGTTCTATTTCATCACCTTTCATCTTTCAGTTCTTACTACGGTGCTAGACTGTAGACAAGCCGTATCGAAACACCGGTGATTCACGAATCAATGTGCCCAGCTGGGTACCCCGAAACACACGCCCCGTTTGTACCCCAGGCACAAGCAGGATCAACCCATCACTCTCCTGTCACGGGGTCTAGGTCCCCGTCCAAACTTGGACTCCAAGCCCTGCTCCTGAGTTCCGGACTCAGTGCGGTGCTTAGACCTCCACCATCCCCGCCTCCAATCAGTGGGTCCAGAAAGAGCCAGAACCCACGACAAGAGAGCAACAAGCCTTCCCTGCACCCATATCCAAGTATGTGCTCGGGATAATAAGTCTGTGACTTGCCTAGAACCCAATGCAACGGCTGGTCCTTAACCGACACAGACAGAGAAAAAGTGTAACCAAGCTATGCCCCGTTGGCCGCAGGACACAACCTCTTACACCCACCTATACCGATACCATATCCCTGCCTGGTCTTCATTTTTCCTTTCCACCATTTTATCATGAGTGATCATAATAAGCACCTATTGTGAGTAATGGCAGGTTACTCACGCTACCGAATCCTAAGCATATCAGCTACCCGACCTATACTAGTAGGACTCATAGGTAAGTTTATCTATGCATGTAGTTTCTATA